TGTTTCCTTAAATGCAGTGCTACTGAGGACAAATTCAGCATGTGAGTCAGAAAATATACATTACACATTTGCTGTATGCCAAACCAAACATTGTCTAGATTCTGTAACACAGTGCTCCACAGAATGCCCATCCTTACTCCCTCCCTCGTGCAGAGCACGGACTAGCACTGGGGACAGATACTTAGGGACATATTTCAAAAACAAGTATGAAGTTTCATTTGATAGAATGCCACAAAGGAAAGGAGTGTGATGTAAGCCTAGGAAGGACTTCCCTGAAGAAGAAATGGTTGAACTGAGACCCAAAAAGAGGAGAAGACTGGGCATCCGTGCTGCCAAAATAGGTTTCTGCCAAGTCACATGGCAGAAGGAAACTTTGTGAAGACTAGAGTACCAGACAGGAGTAGAGACGCTTAGATTGGACAGAAAGCCAAAGACCAGGACCTTAGAGACCATGAGCTTTGATCCCCATGACGGGACGCAGACACTGTGCCCAATGCCTGGCATAATCCTGCCAGCCAGGCATCTGTTTGTCAGTTTTTACCATTTTCCATGTACCACCTACTCACCCAGTCAGCACTCATCACCTTCCACATGCTGGAGACAGGGGTAAAATGACTGCTTAATCTGTACCTACTTCACCCTGTGCTGTTTTTCATTATTTTTTTCCAAGTAATGAGATTTCTAAGGACTTCTCTAGTTCTCTCGTGCAATAGTAATATCCACAACCACTTCCCTCCGGCAGTAGTTGCTTTTTTCCTTGCTGATACCCTCTCTCCCTTGGGATAGCAGACCCATTGTGCAGCAGACTGGGCTGGAGGGAGGGAAGTTGAGCTGGGGCCGGTGGGTGCCGTGCAGGGCCCTGGTCAGAAGTGAGTGTGCTGGCAAAGAACACAGACCCAGGAACAGCTTCAGAGAGCTGGTTCCCTTTATTGTGGGGGAAAAGGGAGTGTTTGTGGCCCTGGGGAGGTGAGCAGGGTCTCTGGGACAGGGTTTGTGTGGACATATACAATGGGCCGGGACAGAGGTGTTGGAGAATATTTCATGTGCATATTCAGGGACTGTAGGGAGTTTGGGGGGGGGGACTTTATAAGGTCAAACAAGGAGTGGGGCCTGATAGCCATCAGGGTAGTAAATCCTTACTAGGGTTGATAGTGGGTCGGCCGACTTTCTGGCACCAGGTTGGGAGAGGGAAGGGAGCCAATGCTTACCGTCCTCATGTAAGACATTCCAGGCTGAAGCTCTCCTAGACCCTTCCTCCATTAATCCCGGGCTATTATGGTCCCACATCTAAATGATATAACTAAAGAGAACAAGGTTGATTTGGGCACACAGTTTCAAGAAATTATAACACACCATGGCAGGGAAGATGGTGATGGGAAAGGCTCTGTCCTTGGAGGTGGGAGTATGTGATAGTGGCCCCTTCCTTGTATCCAACCAGGAAACAGAGAGAGAGAGGTCCAAACTAGAGACAAATGTCACCTTCAAGGCCAGTGAGTGACTCACTCTGCCACACAGCCCAAAAGTTCCAGAACTTCCAAAAACAGCACCACCAGCTAGAAGCCAAACAGTCAAACAAACAAGCCTGTTAGGGACGGTTCATATTCAAAGCACAGTGTTCTGTCTCTGGTCATCGCAGGATTATGGCCACCACAGTCTGAATAGTTCCAACAGGGTTCAATAGCCCAAAGTCTTTCTGAAACTCAAGGCAAAGTCATAGTTGTGACCACTAGTAAAAAAATTAAATAAATAAATAAACAAATAAACAAATAAACAAATAAATAAATAAATAAATAAAATGCACACTTCTAATATAAAATAGCTAAGAGTAAACATTACTGTTCCAAAAGGGAAGAATCTACACAAAGATTCTGCCATCTTGCCAGAAGGACATATACTAAACCCTGCACCTCAATGTGTAGCATCCAGGGCATGTGGTGGTATCATTTGGGCTCCGCTGGGCAAGCCTGCCTCTACTGCTCTGCTGTCTACAGCAAACAGGGGCCCCCTCTTGGCAAGATTCACTGGGCGCCTGCAGCTGCTCTTGGTGAGTGTTAGATGCTTCTGGTATCCCCAACACTCTGGGGGTCTCTATTCCAGCTTAGACTTCACCTTCACTGCTTCATACCAGCCCATACTGGAGCTTCCTGTGGGGAGGCTGCCCCTGCAGCACCTGGCCTGGCCTCTCAGGCTTTCTCCCAAACCTTGGTATAAGCCTTTGTGACTCTATAGTTCTGATGTTCTGCATGCTGGCAATTTCAACATCACGTGGATAACATCAAGTTCTGCTTTCTGGTCAAGATATACATGGCCAGGCTCTCTTGAACCATGGTTACAGTGGCCTCTGGATGCTTGAGTGGCTGAACCAGGGGGAAATACTTGCCTGATGAAGAAAACCTAAAGGCTCTCTCTGTTACTCTTTTATTACTCCTGCTTAAATCAAAGTCTCTGAAATTAGTTTGCTTCAGCGAGAAGGGCCTCACTCTCATGACACCTTCCCCATGATCCATCCCAGTGCAAAATGGGTATTTTCCTTTCCATTGTACCAGACCCTCTGAGAGCAGCCACAACTTTGTCCATGGCGTTTGCCTTATCTTAAACTTTTAATTTGTTCACATTTCCATCTTCATCAGGTTGCACATTTTTTCAAGTCTTTCTGCCCCAGCTTTTGCTGTAAATTTTCTCTGTAAATCTGACCCACATCAGTAAACCATAACCGTGCCATAGCCCACATGTTCTGCTGTCTCAAAATGACTGTGTCAGATTAATTAGACCACTGCTTTTTAATTCACAGTTTCAGGCCCCGGACAAAAATGCATCCAGATTCCTTTCTGGAATGTAATGTGTGTGACCTCTAACCCAATCCCCAATAGTCTCTGCTCCCATCTGAAACCTCGTGAGCAGAGTTCTCAAGTTCTCATTGTCCTCATTTCTCTCAGCATTCTAGTGTTCTGAGCCCCAACCAGACTGACCCATTAAGCTCCCACAACACTTAGAGTTTTGTTAGTTCACAGTACATATCATAAGCCATTTGCAAAGGCCATATGGCCAGGTTTAATCACAGAAATCATGTCATCATATTGATACCAATTTTCTATATTACTTCCTTTTTATCACTGTGATAAAATAATTGACAGATCAACTTAAGAGAAAAGGCTTTGTTTTGGCTTATGGTTTTGGAGAGATGACAATCTATCATGACACGGAAAACATTAGAAGCAGGAACTGCTCCATCCTTGGTCATGAGGGCATACAGAGATAGTTCCCCATCACTGACCAGGAAACAGGGGGCGTTATGTCCAGAACCTGAGATAGGTACAATCTTCAGGTCCTTTTACCGGGTAAGCCCCATGTTGCAAAAGTCCCATGACTTTCCAAAACAGCATCATCAACTGGGGACCAACTCTCCAAACGTGTGAACCTCTGGGGACATCTGACTTTCACATGGTAACTCTGAAGCTGTGAATATTTGGAAATGCACTTTCTGTTCATAAGGAATGCTTGAGGCTAAAATAGGAATGACCTCAGTGACCCATTGCTACTGGGCGCTTTGGTTGGAAAGCCCTCAGGAACTATGGGTTATTAATGCCACGGTGTACTGTTCTCCAGGCTGTATAGGCAGATCTGGCCACAAGCTTGGTAGAGCCACAGGCTTCCCCTTTCCTTTGGGAAGTCATCCTTCCTAAAGGAAGAACTGTCTACCTGACACTGAGCACACTAGACTCCCGAGAATGTACTCTGGTGTCACAGGTACTTACAAGAGAGTTTTTCTGGTACTCAATTCAATTTCATTCCATTCCAGCCTATCTCAAATTTGCTCTGTTCAGTGCAGCTAGATTCTGCCCAGCTCAGCTTTACTCAGCTTGGGCCCATCCCTCTATGCGTGTTCTCACAGTATTCCTTAAAGCACCTTCCTATGTCTGCGTCTGTGGCGGGGCTGGGAACCCAGCTGGGATTGCCTTCTCTGAGGCGCTCATCTCACTGTGGCAACCTCAATGGCACCAGTGTGCTGTGCCAAAGACCAGACTGGGCCTGGAGCAGTACTGCCCCGGGTTGCATCTTCACTTCACGATTTGGATGATATTCTTGAGTCTCTGATCACGTTTCTTCCTCTATAAAACAAGAGCGGCAGTTCGCTCTCTGGTGGGACATTTGTCAGGACTGCATTTCCAGAAGGCTCTCAGAATGCTACCCGTGGACAGCAATTCTTTATAAGTCTCTCTGTTTCTAAAGGTAAGACCAGGTGAGCGAGGAAACCCAGTGTTCACCAATACCTGGAAGACAGAACCCAGTGAGGGTGGGGTTCACTGGTGAACTTTTCAGACGTCCTAACCTTTGCTCTATCCTTACTCTCCACGCTCCTCAGTGCTCCTTTTCATGCCTCCACTGAACTGCTTTTGAGGAACAGCTTTGATATTTACCCTGTTACTTTATTGATTCCTTGGTCTCGGCCTGACTCTTGATCCTTTGAGCTCAGAATCAGGACCTGCGATCTGAGCCCTCCAGTGGCTTTTCACTTCTCATGCATTGTCCACCCTTATCTTTATGAGCAAGAGGTATTGGTGACAGAGGGGACAGTGGCAGCTTGTCCAGCCCTCTAATCCCTCGGGACCCTACAGGAGCACAGTTGGTGACACTGTCAATAGAACTGGTGGCAAAAGCAGGGAGGAGGCGGGAGGTGAACATTAGCACATGGAAGAGAGTGGAGCTTTAAGGTCAGCCCTGCAGCCGTAGGTGTCTACCCTTCTTCCTACAGTCCAGACTACCCCACCATTTCATGTCAACCCAGACTCGGCTGTTAGCTCAGACAGTAACATCAGTGGGCACCAAGCTACAGCATGCCCGTCCCTCAGCGTTCCCGGGCTCTCCAAACGCAGTGCAAGTTCCCAGCCCATCGCTCGTTGTTTTCCACACACAGCTAAAACCAGAACCGATTTCTGCTGTCAGGATGCCTCCACGCACATGCTTCTGGGTTCTCTCCCATGTGTGTCCTTCTCTCTCAGGTACTCGGTGGTCTCAGAAGCAGAAACTGAAAGCATTTTCATGGAGCCCATCCATCTCTCCTCAGCTGTCGCTGCCAAACAGATCATTAATGAAGGTAACACAACTGACACCCGAGCGGGCAAAGGGAGGGCCCAGGAAGACTGAAGACCCTGGCAGAGGGCCCGATGGAAGGGGCAGGCAGGCATGCTTGTCCAGTGCTACCCATCGCCTTGAGGAAAGCAGATCTGACAGGGACAGTTGTGCCAAATGCACTTGAATAACTTTGATGGGACAATGCAAAAATCATCACACTCCATGTGAACGGTTCTCTAGCCCATAGTCGTGGAGAAAACCGGCTCCACTCTGACCCCAGAGCTGTCCATTCTGGTTTTCATTTGTTTGTTTGTTAACTTCAGGGGTTCCGAATAGGGGAGGGTATGGAGGGCTTGTGGTCGACACAAACCTAAGAGCCCAAGAAATTTATAGGAATAAGGAGTACCCAGGGAGTTCTGTGCAAAAAGATGTTTACATTTAGATTCTGTTTCTGTTCTGCTTAAGTATAGTTTTCAATCCGCCTTTAAAAGCTGACGCAGTGGGGCCAGTGAAACGGATCAGTGGGTGGGGATGCTTGCCATGAGGGCTGATGACCTGGGTTTCATCCTCTGATCTCACATGGTGGAAAGAAAGAACCGACTCCCACAAGCTGTCCTTTGATTCCTGCCTGTACACCATGGTATATATGCCTGCCCCCCCCCCCCCACAGTAACTAGTTACTTTAAAATTTAAACTGACAAGGCAGGTTGGCATGAGGAAGATTAGAGGGAAGTAGGGTGGGTGGTGATGTTCACATTTATACTGTAATTTTTTCGGCAGACAACATATTGTATTTCACTCAGATACTCAACCCTGATTGAAAAGTGTAGGGCTTGGTTTTGCGTTGTTTCCTAGGAAGTGTGGGCCAATTGCCTTTCACAACTGTACTCCTTCCTGGTCTCCTTTGGCTTCTCCAGGTGGTCTTTCTTACTTCTGATGGGATTGGCCAAGGGAAGGCAGCATTACTGGTGACAGAGGGTTCAGGTGGTTGAAACTGGAGCTCCTTTAGAGTATGAGTTTTCTGACATTTTCTCAGCAAGACTCTGGGTCCTAGCTTGAGACAGTCTCAGGAAAGCAAAATTTCCACCCTCCTGGGAGTGAGAACTGTGAGAACTGTGGGGAGACAAGAACCGCAGGCAGAGAGGTGAAAGCCACAGGCTTTTGGCTTTCCCACAGGGAAGCAGACAATGCATAAAACAAATAGGCCAATTAGGTATATCTCAGAAGATAATGTCTAATAACTGACTGATGAAAATTTAACTTTGCCTGGGAGTATTTGCATTCCAGATGTAATAGGGTGGAACTTTGTTAGCAAAACACACCATTCACTCATTTAGTAAATACTTAGGACCATCCACGCTATACTGAGCATGGTGGGATTTAAGACAGGAATCAGGCACACTGTGAGAACTCAAACACTTAGGTTTAAAAACTATCAGCCAGCTTTACAGACAAAGAAGTGAAGAGAGACAACCGGTTTGATTCCCCCCCCCCATCACCCACCTGCAGAGGCTACTGACCACAAGGTCAATGCCACGGTCCTCCTGAGTCAGAATTAAGTCCTTCCTGGCAGATCCTCCCACTATTTCATCCATGCCAGGGTCCTGGTAGCACTCTGGCTAAGCCAGACTCTCCCAAAGGACAGAGAAAGTTGTTGTGTTCCTAACTCTTCGATACAAATGTCACCTGTCCCCCTAGAACTCAAGCCTCGGGGTCTCAAAACAGACACCGAGTGTCCAGGCATGCTGGAGTCTGCCGAACAGCTGCTGGTAGAAGACCTGTACAACCGTGTCAGGGAGAAGATGGATGACAAGAGCCTGTTCAACACCCCCTGTGTGCTGGACCTGCAGCGGGCGCTGATCCAGGACCGGCAAGAGGCCCCTCGGAATGAGGTGGATGAGGTCTGGCCCAACGTCTTTATCGCCGAGAAGTGAGTGTGATTGCGGGGAGATACGGCCCTCTTGCCCTTCTCCTGGGTTAATCCCTGAGATGAAATTCCTCTAGCTCACCAAAGGCCCCATAGTTCCTCCCATCAAATGGCACCCGCCCGACCGATGACTCAGGCACACAAAGATCCCCACACAGAATGAGCACTCATCCTCCTCCTTCCCCTCAGTGCTCCCCAGCACAGCCTTGCCCTTCCGGGTGTCTTCCTGACGTAGGTGTTTGCCAGCTCCATCCTCTCTTCCACCCTACCACTTCTCTAGTAACTAGAGAAGGGGACACTAACACCTTCTAACAATACCAACACGCATAGGCGCACACTTGCACATTCTCGTAAGCTTCAGGTTAGAAAGAGACATGATAGAATGTTAATAGTACCTGAGAGGCGGTTTTACTTTCTTCTTTGGGCTTCCTCTGAAATATACAGGTCTCCCAGACATTGTTTTCATAATCACAAAACCCAGTTTTAAGTTAATCAGTGGTTTCTGAAGTGAAAACAAAAAAGAGCTCCCACATTCCATTTCTTCAAGGTCTTGTCGGTACGTACCTGGTACCAGCACACTGTGTTGTAAAACTAATTTTTGCTGATTCACTGGATACTTAATGAGATATCTTTCTGATGCAATTACCCTTAGATCCAGACTTGAGGGACAGAGGTTAGGGCTCTGGGACAGGAGTGTGGAAAAGGGGTTGGATACTTCATCATGGAGTGATCATCTGCCCAGAACCTGATTCCCAGATCATCACATCCTAAGCGACCTTCATCTAGATGTGAAGGTCCAGAAGCGTTTATTCTGTGGTCTCCAGACATCTCGAGACATCCCCAGCTAAAGGCCTCTGCAGTTCTTTGAGCAAAGCTCTCCTCGGGGGCTCTTCAAATTGAGCTGCACTTACTCAGTTACAAAAGCAAGGCCCTGAACAATAGTCCTTGCTTGGTCTTTTTCTCCTTTCAAGCCTTGGGTAAAAGCTCTTGAATTCATTTTTATAATCTTCAAACAGGAACAAAAGTACCTGCTCTTTCCCCCTCTTCAGTTTATGATAAGAATGAAATAAAATAATGTGCTCAAGGGGAATCTGGAAGAGTTCAGCATGTGATGGCAGGGTGCAAGACTTCTAATTTATTTTCTTTTATGTCTTTTTATCATTTTATTTTGAATACTTTGCATGCATGTTTTGCATGCATGTACATCTATGTTCCACATGCGTGCTTGAGGCTAGAAGAGGGCGCTGGAGCTCCTGGACTGGAGGAGCAGATGGTTGTGAGCATCTGTGGGTGCCGGGAACAGAATCTGGGTCCCCTGAAGAGCAGCAATGCTCTTTATCACTGAGCCGTCTCTCTATACCCCTGACTTTACTTTTTGTGCCACCTTTATGCTTTGATTCATGAACACTTCCAAAATGTATTAGTCTTCTCCTTCTCCCCTGCCGTTCCCCTACCTGCCTCTTTTCCATCTTGCTGTAGCCCAAAGCATTGGCCCCTCTTTATTAAAGGATTATCAGCAATGAGCCCTAGGCTTCAAGGGGCATACCGGGTGCTCCCCATCACGAGGGCAATAAACCTCTCTAGCTCTGAGTCTGGCAATTGTGTCCTGCCTCTTCCTCCAGGAGCGTGGCTGTGAACAAGGGGAGGCTCAAAAGGCTGGGAATCACCCACATCCTGAATGCTGCACATGGCACAGGCGTTTACACTGGCTCTGAATTCTACACCGGCCTGGAGATCCAGTACCTGGGGGTGGAAGTGGATGACTTCCCGGAGGTGGACATCTCCCAGCATTTCCGGAAGGCAGCTGAGTTCCTTGATGAAGCACTGTTGACCTACCGAGGTGAGTGGCTCCTGCGGGTTCCGGGCTGTTGGAAATCCCCCACTGGAGAGGCCAGGTGGGGAAATATTATGAAAAGCTCCTGATTGCCTGGAGGAAGGCTGCCTTCATGTGGTTGTTTCCTCTGAGAAAGGAAAGGAGGATCATTCATCCAGCGGGCAATTATTAAGGGCCAATCGTGCGGTGAGTCCTGAACTGTTGTGAGGTGCAGTGGGTGTGACATTAGGCAATGAGGGGAAGAAAGATTAAAGAAGAAAGGAAGGAGGAAAGAGGGGGTGGAGGAGAAGGAAGGAAGAATAGGAGGGAATGAGGGAAGGCAGCCATGGTGAACGCAGGCCAGAAAGTAACTAGGGCGACACACTGGAGAGGCAGGCTCACTCCCCGAGGGTGCTGGGGAAGACCTGACTAAGAGGAGGGCACCAACTCCGTGGGGAAGAGGCGCCTGTCAGGAGGAAAGCCTTGGTTAGGGGGACAGCTAGTACAAAAGCCCCGAGGTTGGTGTTCCGGAATCAAAAGACTGGGCTGAGTTAGCCAGTGTCGGAGGCAGCCGGTGGGGATGCGAGAATGCCATGGGCACGAGAGGACTCTGGGGTGACCTGGGAGTCATTCCCTCTGCCTCAGAGAATGGTCCAGGGGGAGGGAATGGAGCAGGGCTGTGGTGTGGTGTGAGACATTGTGAGATTAGGCCAGAGTCCACAGGAGGCCCCTGGGTTCTGTACGCTCCTCCATGATAGCTTTATGCCCCTGCAAAAACCACAGCTGGGCAGTAAAAGTGCAGGATTTGCTGTCCAGAGGCCTGTCCATCCTGGAGTACATGATTAGCTAGGTTTATACGTGGACCATTTTCCTCACCCCAGGAAGCACACTGTCCTCTATTTAACTAATGCTAATGTTACTCTGAGGAATAAAAAACTTAGAAACAAGCTTATGTAGCATCTACCTGCCCTGTGACAAATATTTTATAAAAGTTATTGCCATCATCATAAGAAATAATACTGTTAGTGATTCCTGGAAAGGGCATTGTCACCCCCCACACACACACACATGTCCAGGACTAGTAGCTTCTAACGGAAAATACCCACTGGCACAGAATATGTGTATGTGTGTAAATTTTACTACACAAACACATTCATGCACACGAGCATGTATACACACACAGAGGTTCTTTTTTTATGCTTTAAAAAAAATCTTGGAACTGGGCTTGATGGTACACACCTTTGATCCCAGCACTCAAGGACACAGAGGAAGGCAGATCTCTGTGAGTTTGAGGCCAGCCTGGTCTACAAAGAGAGTCCAGGTCAGCCAAGGCTACACAGAGAAACCCTATCTCAAATAAACAAATAACAATTCCAGGACTTTTGTTTGTTCATTTTAGAGCCAACATCTCACTCTGTAGCCTGGGCTGTATTATAACTCATTATAGGCTGGCCTTCAACTTGAGGCAATCCTCCTGCCTCAGCCTCTTATACACCAGGATTACACACACAAGCTACACATCCAGCATAAGCTTACTTTAAAAAAAAAAAAAAAGAACTCAGGCCTCTTCAGCAATGTGGGATTGAGTGTGTCCATGTCTGTGGCAAGGAAGCTTTGCTCCTTCGCTCCCCACAACCAAGGGCCAACCTCCTCCCAGAGAGGTCTGGAAAGCAGGGCATGGGCTGTGGATGCCGTGCGGCCGTCACTGAGGGATAGCATGGATCCCACAGTAGGCAGGGAGCTTTGGCAGAAGTTAGATTCACAGCTAGCACGGGCCCGTTGAGAAGCAGGACGCTGCAGAGAGGTAGGAAGATCCCTGCCATTGGCTTGTGGAGGGCACTCGCCTAGCCCCTAGAATCCAGGCACCAGTCAACCTTCCTAAGCGCTGCCACCCTTTAATACAGTTCCTCGTGTTGTGACCACTGCCCACCATAAAATTATTTTGTTGCTGCTTCATACCTGTAATTTTGGTACTCTTGTGTATCGTAGGGTAAATATCTAATAGTCAGGCTATCTGATCTACAACCCCAGAGGGGATCGTGACCCACAGGTTGAAAACTATTTGCCATTTGGTCATTGCACAGGGAACCTGGGTCCTCACCTTGCCACGGTCTCTGTTCTCCCTATTCTAGAACTGAGCCACACCTCAGGCAGGAAGCAGAGCTGCTCTGGTGGTGGTTGCTGCCTTTTAGAGAGGTCCTCCTCCAAGGCAGGGAAGGAAATATCAGAATTCCCCCAGAGCCTCCCTCCTTTCCTTTCCTCTAGGACTCACTGGAGGAAGGAGCACGAGTCTCCACCACAGTGAGTCCGAGTTGGCTGTCGCTGTTTACATTTTACAGGCTGAGACACCTCGACAGGCCCTCTGGCTTTGCCTCTGTGTGATAATAATATTCTCTCAGCTCAAGGCGATAGCAAATGTGTGAAGTCCCAGTACACCAGAGGCTGAGGATGAAGGACTGTCATGACTTCCAAGCCAACCTTAGCTATACAGCAAGTCTGAGGCCAGGTACCGTTACACACCAAGACCCTGCCTCAAAATATAACAAACACGTGCGTTTTTCAAGTAAACTCAAAACTAGCTCCAACTCCTCAGCAAAGCACTGTGCTAAATGAAGCCAAGCTGCCAAGGGACACAGGAAAGAGTTTAAAAGACCCCAATGAGGACTGAGGGAGGTGCTAGCCAGTCTCAGGACTCCTGATTTCTGTTTCCTTTCTCCTTCTCTGTCAGACAGGAAGGATGCCATTAGCTAGTCATCTGCTTCAGTTCCATCTCCAAATTCCCTGGAGAGTGTGTCTGGTAGACTCTGGTCCTTTGTCTCCCTAACGTGACGGCTTCTGGGAAAGGGCAGAATTTTGGGGGGTGTAGAGAGGTACGTTCAGGAGAAAGGGGGACTATGAGTTGGGAGGATACTGTTCCAATACACTTTTTTTAAATGCACACTGACAGGTAGAGAAGGGGTAGACACAGTCTTGCTCAGGCCCGGCACTGTCTCTAGTAGCACTCTTTAATGTCTGAAACAGGGCCTTATCCAGATGGGCCTTCCACTCACCCATCAGCCCAGTTGCTAAACAAATCGATGACTGTGTACATTGGCCATCTTCCTGGAGCCATTTTATTGATGGAAAGTTTTCATCCTGTCAGCGGTGGCAGAGACAGAGGAGCAGCTCCATGCTGTCACCCACATCAGCCTGAGGGGTTCCCTTAATCTTTTGGGGACCTTCACTGAGGTAAAACCAGATATCTGACACAGAGTTTCAGGATGAGCCGGTATGGAACAGACTTGGTGTTTATTAAAAAGACATTTTTAACACGATTCAAAACAGGGGTTGGCAGAAAGAGGAGAGCTTAAGAATAAAGCAAGGCATCCCGGAGAGCATGGGCATTGGTAGGATTCAGAAGCGATCAGCTCTGAGGGATTGCTAGCCTGAGCAAGATCACAGGGTGTTTCCTAAGAAGGACCCAGCAGGATTGCTGTTGACAAGGTAAAACTCTAGCTCCTGGGGTTGCAGAGACTTACATGGCTTCACTATAAACAAAGTTAATAGGCTTGTTTGAGATCCCCAGAAAAATGTCTGGGAGAGGAATGAAGCCTGTCCGTGGTCATACACATTCAGGCCTCAAACCTATGTCACTGCTGTTTTTAAAAAAAATGGCTGCCAGGTGTGGAGGCACACACCTTTAATCCCAGCACTCGGAGGCAGAGGCAGGTGGATCAATGTGAGTTCGAGGCCAGCCTGGTCTACAAAGGGAGTCTAGGACAGCCAGGGCTACACAGAGAAGCCCTGTCTCAAAAAACAAAACAGCAAAAACAAAACAAAAAAGAAAGAAAAGATCATATATGACATATGAAAGTAACGTTATCATTATGAGGGCAGTTTTCCAAGCACTGTAACACAGTGCTGGAGTTCTTGATCTCCACTGGTGGCTTCGAGGAGGGCTCATTTCCATTCCCTTGTCTCCATAATTTTCCCACCTTGCTTCAAGAGCATGGTTTTACTTCACTACAGAGGCTGACCCCTGGAGTTGTGCACAGTGCCTCTTCCCTGGTGCCTTGAAACAAGCCCAGGTCCTCTCAAATGCTGCACAAGCTCTGTCCCTTCAGTGCTGCCCTGTCCCCTGAGTGCTCCCCTTGCCTGGGCCCTGCACATAACAGAGAAAAACCCTGTTCTTCCTTGGATGAAGTGAGTGTAAGCCATCAAGCCCACTCATCCTGCCTCTCCTTGTCCTCCAAGCTGCTTCCCTGAGGTTCCGCACAGGAATTCTAAGAGGAATGAGCGTAGGGTATGAAGGCTTGCCCCGCTTGCTCCAACTACAAACCTGCTTTTTGCCACACTTAGTATCAACAGGACTCAATTCTCCTATGAGGAAGACTTGGCATTAATGTTCTGAAAGTGAGCTGGCCCATCAAGGGATAAGTGTGGGATCTTGAAGTGAACCTACATCAAGCTGGTCAAGAAAAGGTCCTTGGTGAGGCACAGGTGTGGCAGGAAGGGCCAGAACGGGAAATTGAGGCCTTTATTATTTTGACTCTGCTCACTTACCTCCCTCTGGTGGTTGCTGACTCCTGGCAATAGCAGCATTGCTGGGCCCTGGTCCTTTCAAGTCTCAGGCTCTGACCCCCTCTGTGACAAAGACATGGCCTCAGTGGCGCAAAAAAACCCATAATAATAAAAGAATCATCCCCTATTCATATTATCAGATAGGACTCCTGCCGATTTAGCAAACGTCTCCAAAGGCTGTTGGCAAATAGATTGATGACAGCCAGGAAGAAGGTCTCCAGGGGTCCCAGGCTGCATTTTAAACAGCCATTAGAATGAAGAGACTGACAGAGTGTCTGTCACATTTATGAAAGATGCAAAGCAGAAGGAGAGGCCAGGGGACAACGTGTCTGCTGAATGGTACAGCTGAGACTTTCGGGAGCGTCTGTGGACTGGAAGAACAGCCTGCACAGACCGAAAGTACCCGTGGGGGTTTGTGATGTTCTCTTTTATGCTTAAAACATACCACAAGCAGAGACACATGACTTAGTAGCAGGTGGATTTTTTTTTTAAGTTTTATAGACTTCAGTAGAGATAGAAGAATTTAAGATCACTCCTTGATCTGTCTGTCCAAACTGCAAACAACGCTATGATTTAGATGGTCTGTGTGCCCCCTCCCAGCCCTTCCTGACCTGAGAATTAGGCCCCAGTTTTCTGAGGTGATAAGAGGGTGGGAACCTGATCCAACTATTAGGGTCTGAAGATGCAGATGATGAGGGATGATGAAGGTGAGACTGGGTCATTGGGGAGGGGACCTCGCGTTTTAATCCTAGTAGCTGTTTAAGAGGCAGAGATGAGGACACACACACACACACACAATTGCTGTCTTCTACCTTCTGATGCTTTCCACCGCCTGAGGACTCCACCAGCAGGAAGGTTGTCATTAGATACAGCCTCTAGACGATGCGCCTTCAGAATCACAAGGAAAAAACACAAGACCTTATTTTCTTTATAAAGTTACCTGCCAAAGCGATTAGCACAGGTGGTGTAAGTGAAGGCTACGTGCCCAAGTGACAAGGGGACCAACCTACTCTATGTGAGTTGTCTAAACTGGAAACATCATGTACTATCCTGGAAACAAATTCCCTCATGGGGGGGGGACCTAACCTAATATTTCAATGTTTTTGATTTAATGTTTGGAAAAGGATGACTATAGTCAAGAAGAGAGTGCTTAAAAAGACTCAGGTTAGCCAGAAAGAAAAACAAAACAGATACAACAGTGATCTCTGTAAGAGCCTTTGTACAGAGGGTCTGGTTCATACAAATGCATTTGTTGTTGATTGCAGGATATCGGCGTAGAAGCACCGGGTGCCTATTTGCTTTATGCTTTACCCTAATGTGTGGAAGGATTCTCTGAAAATTAGGTGGCCCACTGTGGAGGGAAGAGTGTGTGTCTGTGGACCTATGAGCCAATGAGTTTGCATTGCTGTTAGCATCTGTTAGCCAGATGCTGTTAGCATCCTGCGAAGGCCAGATGCTAGGAATATGGCATCCAGGATGCTGCAAAGGGGAGTTTCCAGTTTTTTGCCCCTGTCTTCTGCCTCCCAACTTCCTTGATTTCTCCTCTCTAAGATGAGGAAAAGTTTGTGGGAAGAAAGTAGAAATGAGCCCCAGTGTTTCAGAAGTGACAACAGTGGGGACGCTCTGTCCGATGTCTGTGGGACCAGTCCCTATGTGACTTGAGCATGGGTGAAACACCAGAATCAAAGCAAATGCATAAAGTTCAACACATCAAAACAGCACTCTGGAAAGACACCGTGAGGAAGCCATGAAACTGTGTCATTGTCTCTTGTGTTTGTTTCCTCTTTTAGGAAAAGTCCTGGTCAGCAGCGAGATGGGCATCAGCAGGTCAGCAGTGCTGGTGGTCGCCTACCTGATGATCTTCCACAGCATGGCCATCCTGGAGGCCTTGATGACCGTGCGCAGAAAGCGGGCTATCTACCCCAATGACGGCTTCCTAAAACAGCTGCGGGAACTCAACGAGAAACTGATGGAGGAGAGGGAGGAGGAGTATGGTGAGGAGGAGGGTGAGGAGGATGCCAGGAGCACGCTGGGTGCTAGAGTAAATTCACTCATGGTGGAAGAAGAAGATGATGCCACCAGCCACCTGAGTGGCTCCTCCTTGGGGAAGGTCAGCCAGGTCTCCAAGCCAGTCACCCTCATTGATGAAGAGGAGGAAGAGAAGCTATATGAAGAGTGGAAGAAGGGGCAGGGCCTCCCCAAAGGCGAGGCTGCTCAGGGTCAAAAGGGTAGTTGCTCTGCCTCCTCGGCCCAGGATGGGAACGACAGTGAGGATGAGGATGTGGAAAGGATAATCCAGGAGTGGCAGAGACGAAATGAGAGGTACCAAGCCAAAGGGCACCAACAATGGAGTCAGGAGGAAGAAGAGGAGGAACAGAGCCCCTATGTCAGCAGAAGGCGCAGACACACCCTAAGTGAGAGCAGCGCCTCGGAGAGCGTCAGCAGCCAGGACATCCGGGTCTTGAAGCAGCAGCTGGAGAGGAGCAGCCAAAGCCGCAGTGGAAGACGCCGCTCTGACTCTGAGTCTACAGAGAGCACGTGGGACATGTGGAATGAGAGGCTGCTGGAGATCGAGAGGGAGGCTGCCAGGAAGTACCACTCCAAGAGCAGGCGGGAGGAGATGAATGCTGATTCAGAGGCAGGGAGCAGGGTCCGAGAAGATGACGAGGCGAGCGTGCTATCCGAGGCCAGCTCCTTCTACAACTTCTGCAGCAGGAACAAGGACAAGCTCACTGCCCTGGAAAGGTGGAAGGTTAAGAGAATCCAGTTTGGATTTCACAAGAGAGACTCAGAGGTGGGAGATGGAAGCAGTGAGCACGGCACAGAAGAGCCAGCAGCGGAGAAGAACCTCTCTGATGTCAACCTGACAGCCTACCAGGCCTGGAAGCTGAAGCACCAGAAAAAGGTGGGCAGTGAGAACAAAGAGGAGGTCGTGGAGATGAGCAAGGGAGAGGACGCAGCGTTGGCCAAGAAGAGACAACGGAGACTGGAGTTGCTGGAGAGAAGCCGGCAGACGCTGGAAGAGAGCCAGTCCATGGGAAGCTGGGAGGCCAACAGCTCAGCTGCCAGCGGGAGCATCCCTCTGTCTGCATTCTGGTCTGCGGCCCCCTCGGTCAGTGCAGATGGGGACACAGCGTCAGTGCTGAGCACCCAGAGCCATCACTCTCAACTGTCCCAGCCTGCAAGTAGCATGGCCGCCACCCCCCTGCCCAACCTGCCAGTGGGGCCTGGAGACACCATTTCCATTGCCAGTATCCAGAACTGGATTGCCAGCGTCGTCAATGAGACCCTCGCGCAGAAGCAAAACGAAATGCTCCTGCTGTCGCGCTCGCCCTCGGTTGCCAGCGTGAAGGCGGCACCCACAGCCAGCTGCCTGGGGGATGACCAGGCCTCAGTGCTCAGCGCCCCCCTAAGTGGACGCTCTGACGTGCAGTCTGTGCTGTCCTCCACCAGCTCGCTGACCTCTGGGGCTGGAGGCGGCGGAAACAGAGTGAGGGGGACCAGCAAGCCCATCTACAGCCTCTTTGCTGACGAAGTGGACCTAAAGGAGCTGGGCCGGAAGGAGAGAGAGATGCAGACGGAGCTGCAGGAGAAGATGTCCGAGTACAAAAGGGAGAAGCTGGCCTCCGACAGCAAGCGCAGCTCTCTCTTCAAGAAGAAGAAGGCCAAGGAGGACGAGGGCAGCAGCGCGGGGGACAGAGAGGAGGATGCGGACAGCGCCATCGGCAGCTTCCGCTATTCCTCCCGCAGTAACTCCCAGAAGCCCGAGACAGACACCTCCTCCTCCCTGGCCGTCTCCGATCACTATAGAAACGGAGCCGGCAGCCGGAAGGAGAGCGACATTAGCACGTGGCTCAGCGGCCTCAGGCCGGAAGGCAGGTCTCCTCCCCAAAGCGATTGGTCTGGAGGCTCCAGGGGGAGGTCCACCAGGTCTTCCCGGCTCCGCGAAACGCAATCTAAATCGTGCAGTTACAAGTTCTCCAAGTCCCGGTCAGAGGAGCAGGACACCACCTTCCACGCGGCGGACGGCAACGCTGTGAGAAGCACCTCGCGCTTCTCATCCTCTGCCACCAAGGAGGCCAGGGAGATGCACAAGTTCTCCAGGTCCACGTTCAGCGAGACCTCCAGCTCCCGCGAGGGGAGCCCAGAACCCTATTTCTTCCGCCGGACCCCTGAGCCCTCCGATGGGGAAGAGTCTCCAGAGCCAAGGCGCCCAAACTGGGCCAGGCCCAGGGACTGGGAGGATGTGGAAGAATCATCCAAGACAGACTTCGCTGAGTTTGGGGCCAAGAGGAAATTCACCCAGAGCTTCATGAGGTCTGAAGAGGAGGGAGAGAAAGAGAGGACGGAGAACAGAGAGGAAGGGAGGTTCGCCTCGGGCCGCCAGTCCCAGTTCCGGAGAAGCACAAACCGGCAAGAGGAAGAAGAAATGGACGACGAAGCCATCATTGCTGCCTGGAGACGGCGGCAAGAAGAAACCAGAACTAAACTTCAAAGGAGGCGGGAGGACTGAGCTGAAAGGGGCCCACGCTGAAGGCAGTGGGAACACAGGAAGAAGCCATTCAACTTGTCGCGGGGCTTGGGAACACTTTACCACAGCCTGCCAAGGGTTGAGCAGGCAGACAGCATCTTCCAGACATGCAGAAATGCAAGTGTCCAAGCAGAAAGGGCCTGGGGAAGAGATAAGCGCCATCCACGTGAGGCCCAAAATCTGGACAGGCTGACCTCTAAGCTTTCGTGTTTTTCTTCTGTATGTGATTGTGTCCACCGCAAAGTGGAGCAGTCAGTCTACAAAACCGCTGAGGAAGATGGGTGCTTGCAGATTGTGGCTCTGTTTGTAGAGGTTTTGCAGTGAGACCCAGGTAAGCTATTCTGTAGCGGGTCTGACCGCTCCCTGCAAATGCTCGGCTGCCAGTGGGTCTGCATTAAATTAGTATCTTGTCAAATATTTCTTCACTCTGGTCATTTCTAACCCTGGTTGTTAGAGGAACCTCGTCTGAAAAGACACAACCAGGAGCCAGCCACACCTGTCTGCTATGTTCCACGAAGACGTGTCTTCAAACAATGCCGTGGTCGTCTCATTACTAAGGAGAATGATGAAGATTTAGGCTACGATACGGCCAGTGGCCATACTAAAGCTTTGGAGAGAAACAGAAGAAACATGCTTGCTCATGTGAGGTAGAGAGGATCCCCTTAGAATAGCAATAAAACAAGCATGGAAGAGAGATGAAAAGATGCTCGATGCCAAGTGATGAGGACATGGGTTTTGAACGAGAGCCAGTGGCCATTCTTGCTTTCAGTTTACTGAAGGGTCAGTTAAGAATGCAGTGGATGACCTGCTCGATCCTTCTTTGAACTCTGTATGGGTTAGGTTGGTGAGGATTGTTTACTCTTTTTTCCAAGGCTCTTGTGTCTCTAAAGCACAGCCTTTATCAGTGAAGTTTCAGGATTTGAACTTGTGTCCCCCTGAATTAATGTGGAGCAAACATTCAAAGCATGTGTCCTCTCATTTCACTCTGATGGGGAAGTATCTGCTACAGATGCCATCCATGGGATGCGTCCTTGAAGTTTCGTTTTCTGAAGGGAAGAATGGAAAGATCATTATATTTGTAGCTTTCCATAAAGAGCCATGCATGGCTCCAAGGCCTCAACCATCACTAATTCCAGTTCCAGAACAAAGGTGGCAAAGAAATCATCACTGAGAGGAAAAAAGAGGGACCCACTGATGGGAGCAATAATAAGTAAGAATCATGTGATCCATTTGTCTGAAGCTAAGTTTCATGGGGCACAGAACTCACATACCCTTTCTATGTGTTAATTCAGCATCACACACCATAGTAGGCCCACAAGACAACACCAGGTTGGCAAAAAGGGGGCCAAACTAAACAGCACAAACTCAGAAGGGCACAAAATGCCACTGGTGCTACCGGATTAATTCACCAGCCTTCACTCTCCTGCCTTAGCCACAGTTCATCTCCCTCCACTGACTGAAGGAGAAAGAAGCCTTGAGAAAAGTATTCAGCCCCTCCCACATTCGCCCTTTCTCCTCTTTGCCTGCCTTCACTTAGTCAGATCCACTCCCTGGTTTCTGAGCCTCAGCGGGCCACCCCGTCAGTCATAAAGATGCTACTGTAATTTAGCCCCCTGCAAGAAAGCTCATACTATTCATTACACATTATACATTCTGTCAGTTGGACAGTTCAGTGCCCCTTCCCCATCATTCATATGGGAAAGCATCTGATGTATGCACAGTCACCTGGGTATTTACCTTTGAGCTTCAATTTTCTGAAGGGAGACGTATCACTGAATGAGGTCCCCCGCCTTTCCACCAAGAACCAGTTACTTTGCATATCTCTGTATCACTCTCTTTCTTGATCTTGCTCCAGAATACATAAATTAATTTCACTCATGTCAAGATAGGCAATATGTTTTTAAATCAGAACTATTCCTAGTCAATCCCAATTCATATCTTGCTGAATGAATGTTGAGCACACATCTGAGCTGTATTGATTTCTAAATTGCCTATCTTTCTCCGGGCCTGAATGTAAGCCTGGGAGAAACAGACCTGGGGACAACCTGCACACCTCGGTTTGAGCCACAGGTTACAGGGGCAATGGTGGCCTACAGGGGCCAACAGGAAGACTGGTTCAGCTCAGTGGAATAGTCCACCAGAAAAAGATCAGTGTCCGGCTTCCAAGGAAATGACTTTGCCTGCAGTGAACCCAGGGGTGACTGCTAGGGATCCTGTACTCAAAATTCTGAGAATTCAGCTTGTTCCTAGAGTCCAGAATACATTTTAGAAATCAAATCAATGAAAATTTCATTTGGTTTATGATGAGCTTGACGAAATATCTGTGAAGTAAGACTCTAAACTAAGGCTAATCGGCAGTGACACTGTTTTAGTCTCTAAGTGACATTTAAAGGTAGAGATCAGTGAAAGTTCCCCACAGGAAACAGATGGTGAACCCAAAGAGATAGCTGGCAGGCTGGGAACTAAGACGTTACTAAATCTTCTGGTGCAAAAACCTGCTCATATGGGTGAAGGCTGAGGGAGCCAAGGAGTAGCCAGGTACTGGCAACCACAAGAAACTGATACTACTTCAGGGCTGAAAAATGGTGTAAAGAAACTGGTTTCAGAGTCTGGGAGGACCCGTAAATATGGGTGGGGGTGCCCTAACAACCCATCAAAGAAGTGAGGAAATAAATATCCTGTTTCATCTCATACTAGTAACTTCCAGAAAGTAGGGCAAAAATTGTCTATGAAGAAATGAACAGTGAGCCAGGAAGACAGAAAGCTACCGCACAAAATGCAACATGTTCAAGTAGGAGACCGTCTCCATAGCACCATCCCAAGGATGTGGGCTGACGGCGGTGAAATCAACACAGACGCTGAACACAGAATCAGCCCTAATACATTAGGAATTGAGAAATGAAATAGCATTTCAGCTGCATAGGATCAGCTTTCAGAGAGAGCAAGGACTTTGTTTTACAGAAAGAAGATGAGAAGACCAACTTTGAGTCTGTGCCTTTGGTCCATCAGGAGTAACCTAGAATTCACCGAGAGAAAGCTCCCAAGGTAACGGGTAACTGTGCACAGAAAGGCTGTCCACAAGAGAAGAATCCTGCACAGGACTTTGAAATGGGATAGGGGAGGGATGGGAAAGGGCCTTGATTTTTTTTTTTTTTTAATCCTGCACCCAAGTTGAAGCCCAGGAGGTAAATGAAAACATGGCAGATGTGAAGAGACAAGGGGTGTTACCCAGCATCATCCCAGCAGGAAACAAAAGCCACACCCAAACAGGGCAATTCAAAAGGAACAAACCTCATAAAGGACTATTTACAAAGGTGCAGGCACCATGTGGAAACCACCTGTGTACCCAGGGGCAGAGCTGCACCTGCCAGCCAGGAGGGGGAGCCAGTTACAGACAGAAAGAGGGACAATTAAAACAGCCAGCCCGACAGGACCTCACACTATCTTACTCTAATCTGCCTTCTGTGTCCTCGTAGGTCAGATCCAACCAAAGTCCAGGGGAAAGAAGTTGGTACATAGGGTGTACCATCATGGGGGCATAGGCCAGGACAGAGAGATGAGAGCATGTAGATTTGCAAGCACAAATAGAAGACAGGCAACAGAACAGGAAAGTTTGGGTCAGGGCCTTAGTTAGGACAAGCTTGATAACGGATTGTGAAAACCCTGCTTTTAGTGTTTGGGATAGTTCCATAATCAAGGGTATGAAATTCTCTGGAGTCCCTGAAACTTTTGGCTCTGGGAGTATTACTCACCAAGAGAAATCAAAGTTTGCCACATTCAGCCATCAAATACGCTACATAGTAGCCCCTGTAAGATGACTCTTAAACAGATATATACCTGACCTTCCTCCTCTTCTGAATTGTGATTTCAAGTTTATGCTTTCAAGGGATGCCAATTTTGCTTTTGCTGCGGCAAGTTACTCCTCAGCCACACTGGCTCTGCAGGACGTGTTACATCTGTTTCAGGTACCAACCAGAAACACACCACCCTCCACTCACATGAATTCCATGTAAAATCTATATTTTAAATCATCCCATGTTCCTAAATACCTACCAAATTTAGTATGACTGCATCTACCCATTTGTTCTTGTGAAGGTCGTTAACATTAGGCAATCTTATCTCCATAAGTTCCAATCGTGCTGAAAGCCATCTTGAGACATCTCTGTGCTTGTGACACCCGTGAGCAAGTGTGTACAGAGACTGGCTGATGCAGGAGCCAGACCTTCCAACTGCCACCCATGCAGCCACCTGTGAATAAATGGATATGCCCCTCAGGCCAGGAGCAGGCCCACTCTCCTCTCCTCTGTCATTAGATTCTTAATGCCAAAAAATCCGAGAGATAGTAAAATGTCTTGATTTGCAACGTCCCTTCCACACAAGCATGAGGACCTGAGTTCATATCTCCAGAACCCACATAAAAATCTGGGTACAGAGACACACACCTCCAAACTCAGTGCAGGGGATGCAGAAACGGGAGGCTCCAGGGTTTGCTTAGCCAGTTGCTCTAGCTAAACCACTGAACTCCAGGTTCAGAGGAAGACCCTGACACACACACACACACACACACACACACACACACACACGGAGCAAGTGAGGAAGACATCTGACGTCAATCTCTGGCCTCCACTCACACAAATACGCGCAAGCTGTGCTGGTGAGGGTTTATTTGTGTGTCAACTTGACACAAACCACGATCATCTGGGAAGAGGGGAATTTGAGACAGTGCCTCCATCGGACTGAGCTGTGGGCAGGTCTGTGGGGCATTTTCTTGGTTGGGGGCCGTGTGAATGGGCCCAGCTCAGTGAGGGCAGTACCTCTGGATAGGTGACCTGGGGTGGTACAAGAATACAAGCAGAGCAAGGCATGGGGAACAAGCCAATGGGCAACATTCGTGTAGACTCTCCACTTTGGTTCCCACCTCCGGCTTTCCTCCCTGCTTGACTTCCTGCCTTGACATCCCTCAGCGATGGACTGTGGCCATG